TGGACGCAGGAATTTCAAACGGAGGGTCGGGCACATCTTCGACCACGGGGCACGAGGGGGCATCCTGCTGGGAGGGGTCGGGGCGATGCAACTGAACACTGCTACTACCTACGTTGCTGCTAACTAAGGGGTTACTTGAAACCGCCGAGGGGGGAAGGGGTTGGGCCTCGCATACCGACGAATTGACACTCACATTGACTGCATCGAGCTTTTTGCCTCCGACGGCCGATGCGCCGACCGCACCCGATCCATCGGACGACAGCTCGCTACCAAGGCGTGAGCCAGTACAAAAATTAAACTCGTGGGCCCAGGGGCCCTCCTCCTCCTCAGGGAAGGCCAAAAAATCGTGGTCCAGATCAGGGTCCTGATCGGCCTCCTCAGCCACCTGGGAACGCGATGTCCCAAGTTGCACGGGGGGCTCCAAAACATCCCCGAAGGCCTCCTGAAAACCCGCGACCCTCTTGGCGTGAGCCTCCTGGCGCTTAACAGCCGCAACGGACCTGGCCTGGCTGGACTTGGATCCAGGAGTGGGCTCACACCGAGGCCTCGGGAGTTGGGGCAACTTCGGGGGCAGGGAAATCTCACGCGTCCTAAGGGTCTGGCCCGAAGCTCGTAGGCTCAAGGCTAGACCGAGATGAGGCTTCCACGGGACGCTTCTGACTACTTCTAGACTCTGGATGAATGAGGACGCGGCAGCGCTCATATAAACAACGTCGATCATTGTGTCTGGTCCTTTTTTCTGGGCACATGTGCCCTCAACTCCAGCTGGGGCGCGCACATGGCCCCCCGTCACTCTGTGGAAGGCCGTGCGCTTGAGCTCGTCTGGCGTCATGTTGAAGTCGCCGATGACCAGCCACGGGACTCGGAGTGAACGGAGTAGTCCACCGAGTCGGTTGAATCTCTCGATGTTCCTGCCCGTCATCTTGATGGACGGCAGCGCGTGCAGGGCGACCACCACGATCGCGTAGCTGTGCTGCTGCAGTATCACTGGGCAGAATCCGTCGTACGCCGACTGCTTCGGCGCCTTGAGGTACTTGGCAGCAGCCCTCGCCTCGGGCAGCTGTTGGCTCTGCAAGTGCTTGCGGGAGAAAAACATCTCACCTCCCTCGTTCGAGTGCGCCTCCTTGGCCTTAGACACTACCTTCGAGGTGCGGCGAGCCGAATTCATGATCATGCGAAGGTTGAGAGCCCGGCTTGCCTTGGTCCACTTCTTGACGTCCGACTCGCGGTGAATGTGAGTCTCAGTCATGATCCAGTGGTCGTAGGCCCCCACGTGCTCCTGTACGTACTTCCACACCTTGTCCGTTAGGCAGGTGACGTTCGAATAGAATAGCCTAGTGCATTCCCCTTCGTCACTGCCTGCCCCCTCGGTCTTGTGGGTCCGAGGGGTCCCCGTCCGACACCGTCAAGCTGAGGGATCTGCAGGCGCCCCAGCGGCCTCACCACTGGCGGTGCCCTTGCCCTTCGCCTTCGTCGCCGCCTGCTGCGCCAGGAACTTGGCCGCGGACAGCCTCTCCGCCTCCGCCTTAACGGCGTCTGAGGGGTCAGCTGCCGCCGCCGCGCCGCCGCCGCCGCCTGAGGTGGTCCCCGCCGCCGATGCCGCCGCCGCAGGAGGGGCCCCCTGGCCCCCGCCGCCAGCCGCCGCTGTGGCCGCCTCCTCAGGTGCGCCGTCAGTAGGCGCGCGTCTCTTCTTCTTCGCCCGCTCCTCGATGGTGTGCCGATGCTGCTGCATGGCCTCCAACCACTTCTGGATCTCGGCCTCCTTGCCCGTGAGGGTCTCCTTGGCGCCCTGCAACTGGCCTCGGAGCTCCTCTAGGGCCTGCTTCTCCGCGTCCGTGGCGTCCAGCGCCGCCAGGTTCGTGAAGAAGCTGTCGTCCCACTCCAGCGTGATGATCTTCTTCTCGCCGTCGGGGCTAGGCTTGGCCTCGGTGACCCCTTCGGCCTTAGCCAAGGCCGTGGCTGCTGCTCGCTTGGCCTCGGTGGTCTCGGCCAAGTGGATGGCTGCCGCCCTCTCTTTCGCCTCCGCAGCTGCCAGATTGCTGCGGAGGCGAATGACATTGCTAACCGCCTGGCTGTGGAGGTGCTCCGCGTTCCTCCACGCCCCATCGGCCCTGCGCAGGGCCTCCGCGGGCGTGATCCTGGCGGCCTCCCGCCCGCTCTCCTCCTTGGCGAGCTTGTCCAGCTGCGCCTGGAGGTCCACCTTGAGCGTGGAGTCGGTGGCGGCTGCCAGGGCCTGCTCCAGGAGGCTCTTCACTGACTTGCCCCCCTTGCCGCCCTTGCCGCCTCCGAGCCCGCTCCCCACAGGGCCCTTCAAGATGCCTGGGCGCCGTGGTTGCGGGCGCTCGCTCTCGCTGCCGCTGGTGGCGTCGTAGAAGCCGTCGGCGTCGCTGTCGCCGTACTCGTCCACGAACTGAACTCGCCTCGGTTTCCTCTTCCTCTCGAATGGCTTGACCTCGTTGCCGCAACCGCTGCAGATGTTGTGGCGGCGGGCCAATACTCCGTTCCACTCGCACGTCTGACATTGCATGCATCTGGTCCACAGCTGGTGGACGCCCGCCATTGCGTCTGTCCCTGTGTTGGTCGGTGCCTCTTCTTGGCTGGCACGCAGAAAAGACACAGTCCCTCAAGCGCTGCTGGGAAGCCCAGGGACGAACTCAAGAGGGCAAGTGGGCCTCCTGGGGCCCCTCACCCGCTCGAGCCCAAATTGCTTGAGGGAGGAGGAGGAGGAGGAGGAGGAGGAGGAGGAGGAGGAGGAGGAGGAGGAGGAGGGTCGTGTGGGCGATGGACCGACTCTCGTGCCCATACCTCGTCGCGTCACCTCCAGGGGCCCTTACCAGGTCCGGGGGCCGCCAAGAAACTACGCAGTGCGAGAAGCTGGTCATGAGGAAGAGATCTCTAAGGAAATCACGAATTCGAAAGTATGTCCCTCCACTGGGCTTTTGCGGGACGATCCTTGTGCTCAAAGCTTCGGGGTTTGTTCAAAGATGGCGCGTCTCGCCCCAGGCCCTAGATATCAGCTGTGTCCACGTGGTATGAATCGGTGCTTGGCATGAGCACGCAGGAGCAAGATATGCTGAAAATGCGCTCGCGGAAGCAAGAGAGGGCAGATGAAATGTCCACTGCAAGACCCCCGGGCCAAGGGGAATTCTATGGGTGAGCGAGTGGGGTGGAATGCCGCGGCAGGCGGGTGGAATACCGCAGAAGGCTGGATGGAATGCCGCTGTGGGTGGGCGGAATACCGCGCTGGGTGGCCGGAACGCAGCCGGGGGGCGGGGGTGGAATACCACGGCCGAAGAATGGAATCTGGAATGCCACAGGGGCGGGGTGGATAGAATACCACGGGGAGTAAGTGGAATACCGCGGGGGGGGGAGGCGGAATACTACACGGGAGCGGATGGAATGCCTATGGAGGCAGTTGAAGCAGTGTAGGGGGGTGGGTGGCATTCCACGACCGACGGGTGGAATGCCCCAATGGAGGTCGGTGGAATACCACAGGGGGCGGGGGGACTGCAGTGTGGGTGGAATACCCCAGGGGGGCGGGTTGGTGGAACACCACAAGGTAAGCGGGTGAACTACCGCAAGGGGTCGGTGGAAGACCGCTCGGGGTGGGTAGAATACCGCATGAGGGCGGTTGGAATATTTTTTTGGGGGGGGGGCTGGACTACCGCTGAAGGAGTGGGTGGAATACTGCGGGGCGGGGGGCGCAATACCGCAGGGTGGCATATGGAGTGCTGCAGGGCGGCGGGTGCAATGTCACGACAGGCGGGTGGGACACCACAGGGTGGGTCAGTGGGTGGGCGGGCGGGATGGGGTGGGGGAACACCGCTGTGGGAGGGGGGGGATACAACGAGGCGGCGGAAATGACGAAGGGGGGGCTGGAATGCCGCATGCGGGTGGGTGGGACACCACGGCCGGCGGTGCCACAGGGGCGTGGGGGGGGGGTCGGGTGGACAACCACGGCCGGTGGGTGGAATAGTACTACAAAAGGTCGGACGCCCACGGATGGCATGCAGCAGGAGCCTCGGAGAGGGGCTGGCGGACCCTGCGCTGCCAGCTTCTCATCTGGAACACTGGGAATAGCAGAGGGTGGTGTCCCGCAGGAGGGGGGGCGGAGGGAATACCACAAGGGCGCGCGGAAAACCGCGGCCAGCGGAAGGGATACCAGAGGGGAGGTGGATGGACTACCACGGGGGAGGGGTAGAATACCACAGGGTGCGGTTGGGATATCGCAAGGGGCGGGTCCAAAACCGTGGCGGGCGGGTGGAATACCACTGGGAGGCAGGTGGAATACGATGCGGGGTGGGTGGAATGCAGCAGGGGGCGGATGGAATAACAAGGCGGGCGGGTAGAATCCCACTGTGGTGCGTGGAATGGGTGGGATACCGCAGGGATGCGGGTGGAACGTCACAAGGGGGTGGGTGGAATGCCGCATGGACGCATGGGTGCAATACCACGGCGGGCGGGTGGAATACCGCGGCCATCGCGTGAATACCTCGGACGCGTCGGTGGGACACCACGGGGCGGCGGGGGGCATACCGCAAGGGACCTCATGAGCCTGTAGCGTGCGCCGGCTTTCCCCCTCGCACCTCCTCGGCGGTGTCACTCCCAGCAGCGCGAACCAGACCGCAAGTGCATGGAAAGCCAGCAGGCGGGAGCTGCGCGCGCAGCCCATGACAGAACGATGCGGCGCGGCAGGCCACACTGCGCTACTCCGAGAAGGGCGGGGGGCGGCAGCTGAACTCGGACGACGCCTCAGAGATTCGGGCTGCTCGCGGGCTGCGCTCCATGGCGCGGGGCCCGCAATCTTCGGCGGCAGCCCGATGGGGGGGACCGACCCGCGCCCGCCCCCTCGCGGCAGGAGCGGGAGAACTACCACGAGCAAGAGCAGGAGGCGGGAGCAGGAACGGTCGGCAACGGCCGGCAGCGGCAGCGGAAACTCCGCGGGAGACGCCGCGCCTCTTCTCGAAACCCTTCTGCGCTCAGGCCGCGCTGCGCGAGCCTCACTGGGCAGCTGCCGACGACGCGTCCGGCGCAGGCCCAGTCACTACCACCGTTCGGCCGCTGACGCCAACCTGGGGCGTCCGATGCTCCTCCAACCTTTCCCCTGTGCCCCCCCCGACCTTTCGAAGTTCCCAACCTCCCTCTTCGCAGCTGCCTCCTTCCAATCCGCCTCGTTACTGTTTTTTTCCTCCTCCCCTTTGCGCCTCTCGCGCATCTCCCCCGTGTGCCTCCCCTTCCCTCGCCCTCCGCCTCCGTCCTGCGTCCTCCTCATCCTCCTCCTCCGTGTCGTTTTTTTGTGTTGTTATATGTTTGTTTGTTTTTGTTTGCTTCTCTCTCTCTCTCTCTTTCTTTTTTTGTTGTTTTTTTTTTTTTCTCTCTATCTCTCTCTCTCTCTCTCTCTCTCTTTCTCGCTCTCGCAACCGCCTCGGCGGTTCCCTGTCCGCCCTCGCCCGCGCCGCGCGCGCGAGCCGCCCGGGCCGCGCGAGCCCGGGCCCCCGCGGGCGCCGACAGGGAACCGTTTCCTATGGGGGTGTGGGGGGGGGACCCAACCAACCTTCAATCACATCAACAGGGGGGGGGAGGGGGAGCGGCCGGGCCACTCAAAGGATCTCGTGGGAAGTACCAAGGGCTGCGCACTTTGCGCGTAGCGTAATACACGGCGTGCATTGTCCGTAGCGCTGAAGACGTTGTACGTTCCTCCAGCTACTCGGTAGCCTGAATCAGTATCGAAATGGCGGTTTTTCTACAAGTTGCATCCCCTCTCAACAATCGTCGCCGTCTCGTTCCCCACGCGCACGCTCGTGATGCCCGCAGTGAATATGTGATGCGCGCTTGTTGTGTCTCCCGGATGAGGACGGTAGGCCGTAGATATTGACGACATCCTGAGCAATCGGGTTGCCATGGTAGTCCAGCAAGTATTCGTAGCACTGGCTGGCTGTTCCCTGTGATTGTGGGCTGGTAATGGAGTTCTGCATGACTGTCAAAAAACCATCTCGTCGAGGTTGTAGCTAATGTAATAAATGATGATGTGCGTGTACTGGTCTGGATCCATACCGCAGCGTTGCCCGTAGAACTTGGCAGCCATTACCTTATTGAGCTGTCCGCTTGTAGGGGTGCCTTGGTCGATCTCAACAGCGCGGCAATCATATTCCCGGTGTCCCAAGCCACATGGTGACTGAACCTTCTTGCTGGGTTCTCTACTGTGACATACTTTTTGGCCGCGCGCCAGCAGCCGCTATGCAATGGCCGCGGTGACTCTCGCCCGCGATGTGGCCCCTCAGCTCGGTTATCAATGGTAACTCCGCCAGTATGTTCCTAGCAGTTGGCCCTGTGGAAGTCGATCCGTTTGTTGTGCAGGTCCTTGAAGTAGTGGCGCAGAGCCGCTTTGATGTCGCGGATCGTGAAACATTGCCTCCCGTCTTCTGCCATGGTACCTCCGTTTTGATAGTGGAGATCCTGGGGGCATATACCTGCCGCGGCAAGTAGGCATGCCATTGGCGCATCATCGACGCGCTCGTAGTTCACGCTGGCCACGACGGAGGCAATGGTACGCACGTGGCAACTTTTGAGTCGATAGCGCGCACGAATACACAAGGGCACAAGCACGGCAAAGTGTACGCGGGCGGTCGGGTGTCATGCAGTAGACACGGTTGTCCACGACATTGTCCTATGGCATCCAGTGCCGCACAGGTAGTGTCCGGGCGCGCGCAGCGACGCCCGTCTGCAGCCGCCCCCCACCCCACCCCCCACCCCCCAGCGGTTTCCAGCGCACGCGCAGTTCGCTAGCGAAATGCATCAGGATGCCCGGCATGGTGGATGGGGCGGGAAGGGGGCGACGACGAAGAATGCTGGAGCTGGGCGCGAGCCCCGGCGGGGCCGGCACTGCAGTGGACCTCGAAGTATTTGCTCTGCCGAAGTCCCGCTGTCCTTCTCCCCGTCGTTCTTGTCCTCGTGCACGTAATCCCCGATGGCCTCGCCCCCGTCGGTGGCGCCCTCGGCCTCATTGTCGTCTTCGAATGGGCAGCGCGTCGCGTGGTCGCGCTTGAGGCCCCCGCCCTCGCCGCAATGACTGGTCGGGGAGATGGGCTCCTCGATGGCCGCATCCGCGAAGCGGACCAAAGTCAACTCCGTGGTCGCGTCGTTGCCATTGCGCTGATTCTCGTCGACGCACCTGCCGGTCACGCTGCGGGCGCGGGCGCAGTAGTGGACCTCGTTCACTCCATTGGGCTCGCGCGGCGCGCAGTGCAACTGGGCCTCGGCACAGACGATGTTCGACTGCGCGCAGTAGTTGTAGAAGACGATCTAGCCTAGGCATCTGGTCTCGTAGCCGCACGTGTAGTTGAAGAGCTTCGCGCGCAACTGGTGCCTGGACTCCTGGACAGACCCGCGCCCATCTCGTCGCCCGTCAGGATCTGGGCCGCGACGTAGCCCACCTTGCCCGTCTGCTCAACGCAGTGCTTGACGCGGGCGAACATCGGACACTCGCGAGCCGCCGCGTAGATGCACCATGAGCGTGGCACGAGGAAATTCGAGCTGAGCGGCTGAGCGGCGTCGGCTCATTCGCCGCGTCGCGCGCCGGCCCTGGGCGCCAGTCGATCGCGCGCGCATCCGTCGCGCAGTCGCCCGAGGCATTGTAGACGCGCGGGAGCATGTTCTTGCGTCTCTTGCCGCAATGCTTCGCGGCGTCGCCGACTTCCAGAACCGCGAGACGCGCCGCGTCTTCGCTGCCGGAATGTCCTCCGCATGTACTCGTGGTCGTCCGCCGTCTTTGCGTCGGCCCTGCGCCTGCGTCGTAGATGTCGACTTCCACGCGCGTCGCGTCCTGCCTGGTGCCCTCGACGATCTCCTTAGCGCGGTGATTCGCGAGCGCCGCCATTCGGCCCGGCGCAGGGGGCCGCGGTGCTTCCGCGCGAAGAGCGCCTCTCAGTGGACCAGCAGCTGCGGAGATGCGATAGCACTGGTACGCGCGCGGTGCACGACCTTGCCTGTCCAGCGGCATCTCGCGGTCAGGTCATGGCGCGTGCGTAAGCGGACATATCCTATTGAGCAAGTCAACCATGTGCCAGTAGCGTGCAATGCAACATGCGGGCTATCTGCTTCATAAAATGCCGCGTCATCTGCGAAATTTGCCGGTCAGCGTGGCCCTTCTCTGATGTCGCGCAGATCAAGCGGAAGTAGACCTTTGGCCTGTACCTCAACGGCCAGCAAGTGCCATACACATATTGCGGTGTATATCGGATTCGATGCATGATCCTTCCAGTTACTTGTGCACGCAATATGGCGCCAGTCGCTGGCTTTGTAATGTCGCCCAAGCATCCTTGTACATGCTGCTGATGACCTCGCATAGTTTGGGCTGGTACTACGTGGGTGGCACGGCGTTGAAACTGCCAGTGCGATTGATATCCAAGACTGTCGGATGTCCTTGTCGATGACTGCAGCGCCCTCGTGCTTCCTCTTGCGAGAAGACGGTGGGTGCCGCGCGTAGGTTTTCACGACAATAGCGTAATAGGTTTTCTGTTGTCGCATCCAAACATGACCTGGTCGAGACGGTTCGCGTTGGCTTCCTTATAGGTGAGGCCCTCGTCTTGAACCACCACCATGACGACGCAAATCGCACTTTCCATGTTGGGGTGGATGGGTGGTTCGTCGTCGCCAGCATGCTTCGCAGTAGTGATCCACATGAAACTTCCAAGGTGGCTCGCAGGAGCCCGCTCCCAACGCGCATCTGCGCTCGCTCCCTTGCAATGAGCCGTTTGCATCCCCGAGGCTCGTCGTTGTCTCGTTGCTGTCTGCGGCCTCAGTCTTGTCGATGGTGAAGATTGTTCCACCGTGCGCCACTCCAGGTTACGCAGGAGGGTCCTGCATGTATGATTACTAGATGTCCTGATCGCACCAACGAAGTCCAGCAGCTCGCGGCCTCTGTATGTGGCAGGTTATCCCACTGTGTGCCGTTATCGACGTCAAGACATACGACTTCCACCGGGGACTTGGAGTCGGACTCCTTGCGATGCTGTAGATATTGGTCGCGTTGGCGGCCTGATACGACATGTCGGCAATGCTATACCTAACGTTCAAGGATGATCGAGCTGATATCCGCGTTGTTGAGCTTCTGGTTTGTGATCCATACATCCATCTTCTGATCCGAGCAAACGTACGCATTGGTGGTTTCTGATAGCTGGTTCCTTGGCCTTGGCCTCGTAATAGCCACCCCCGTTCGTAGAGCAGCAGCAGCCTCCTGATCTCTTTGGTCCAGTTCCTACACTCGATCATGTGGAGATGGGTCGAAGTAGCCCCTGGTGATAAAAGGCGTCTTCATCCTGCGGGTCAAGCTTACGAGTAGTCGTGGTCTGGCATGGTGAATACATGCCGCATGCTCTGCACAATCCAAAGTGTACGTAATGCGTACATGGCCCAGACCTGGATGACACTTGTCCCATGCATGGCCCGGGCGTCATTTGTTGCCATCGTCTGGGGACGATGCGTATCTGAGCTCTGCGGCTAGACGTGGAGCATGTTCGGGAGACGGCTGTATTCCAAGACGTCAAATTCGCTGGTCGTGCACTTTGTGCCGTGCCGTGTGTTTTGCGTGATCCTTTGTCCATTGCGTAACTGAGCAGCTGTCTTGGATAGTATGCTCAACGTGGTGCCCGCTTCTTGGCCATATTATTTGGCCTTGGCCTCCATTCGCCAAGCCCTGTACGTTTGCGTGGGGCGCGTTGGTCCTGGATCCTCTCGGTAGATTGTCGAGGATGCGTAATAGTTGTATTGGTCCGTGTCGCACTAGACGGAAAGCGTCCCTGAGCCTGCGCGTATTGAGCAGGATTTCGATGTCAACTCTGCCAATTTGATGGAACTTGCGCGGTGGTCTTAATCATGTGCTGCTCGCGGATAGGTTTTCCCAGCGCCGGTCTGTACAGCATGTAAGTAAAACAGGTTGCTGCTATTTTACCTAATGGTAGGTGTTGGCCGTGCCAATGCTTTGTACGTGGCTCTTGAGACACCTCTGATTACGAGGTCCGTCGTTTCGACGGACTGTTGCGCGAACGATGCTCTTCGAATGGGGGTACTCGCC